TGGTGTACTTCCCCCGATGCGGTAATCTGTACGTCCAAAACGGTTTCTGCACATACACAGGACATGCCTGAGCCGCAATTGCTCCTGGCAACGCGGAAGTGTCCAGCACCCCCGTTGACATCAACGATTTCCACTGCGCGCACGGCCACTCCCACGAGGTGCTGCTATTCCACTGCGCGCACGGCCACTCCCACGGGGTGCTGCTGAGGACCACGGCGAAGCAGCAGGAGATGACGCTGATGGGCGAGCTCCGGGAGTGCCTGGAGTGCTCGACGGCGAAGGGGCTTTCCAAGCCCATCCCCAACAAGACGTCGACCCGAGCAGTATAGAAACTGCAGCGAGTTTTCGTGGATCTGAATGGAAAAGCTACGGTGCAGAGGTTGCGGGGGAAGTGGTACACCCTCATTGTCAAGGATGATTCCACAAGGTGGAACAGAGTCTATTTCCTGAAGCACAAGTCAGATGCGGCTGAGGCATTCGAGAGGTACCTTGCAGAAAACCGGGCAGACGGTACCCCGTCCAATGTCATGGTCGTGAGATCCGACAATGGAGGAGAGTGTTTTGAGGGAGAGTTCAGCAAGGTGTGCCGGAAGTACTGCATCAAACAGGAGTTCATCCCCGCACACAGCCCAGAATACAACGGTGTAGCTGAGAGAGCACTGGGTCTGATCAAGGATGCAGCACTAGCCGCCCGTATCCAAGCGCCAACTCTTTACCCCGGAGCACCGNACTGCACCTCCACCACATCCAACCAGAGAAGAAATCGCCGTACGAGACATGGCACGGGCACCCTCCCCCGCCGGAGGCGACGTACCCGTTCCTCAAACCTGCCGTATACAAGGTCAAGCGCACACACATGTCCGAGCCGAAGCCCAAAAGTGTTTTTACCTCGGTCCGGGAATCAACACCAACCGTGATTGCGTTCGCATCTCGAACCGAAAGCGCCAAGCGATCACAACTTGCAACTTCACCTGGCAATCCGTACCCGCCGTTCCCGGCCGCCCTGCCCCAGTCGCTGCCTCCCATCGCAGAGGAGGAAGAGGAATTCGCGACTGAGGAGGAC